TTGTAAAATGCGACCTGTTCTCTACGTTGGCCGACGTGCCGATAAATAAACTTTCAGAAAATGTTTAATATATGTACCCTTAGCGGTAGATAGGATTATTACAGCACGAAAAGTAGCGGCAGTTTTAAAAACCGCACGAACTTTCTTGGTTGCCTGATATTTCCGGATGTCGTTTGAAACGTTTGAACAACTACTAAGTACCATAGAACCAGACATTACAAAAAAAATCGTTCTTCGCACACCAATATCTGCACGCACTCGTTTGCAAGTAACCTTGCGATATCTGGCTTCTGGAGACAGCATGGTCTCCATATCATATGCTTTTCGCATTGCACACAATACTATTTCAAAAATTGTCTCAGAAACTTGCGCTGCAATTTGGAATTCTCTTAAAGCTAAAGTATTTCCACAACCAAGTACAACTAATTGGCTGGATATCGCAGAAAATTTTGAAAATATTTGCCATTTTAACAACTGTATTGGCGCCTGTGATGGAAAACATGTTGTTATACAGGTAAAGAAACTTGCTTAAAGACATGTGAGTTGTATACATTTTTTATTATGATTTGTATTTCCTATTTCGTAGGCACCACCAAACAGTGGTTCGACGTACTATAACTATAAAGGACAACACAGTCTCATTCTTCTTGGTATATGCGATGCTAATAGCTGTTTCATTGTTGTGGATATCGGTGGTGAAGGAAGACAATGTGATAGTACAATATTTCAAAATAGCGAGGTGAATAAGCGATTTTGCAATGGATCGCTTCAAATACCTGCGGCGAAATAAGTTATGAATAGTATTATAAAATTACCATATGTATTAGTCGCGGATGAAGCATTCCCACTAACCACGTTTATAATGAGGCCGTATCCGCGAAAGAATCTTGATATGAGAAAAAAAGTATTCAATTATAGATTGAGTTATGCTAGACGATCAATAGAATGCGCATTTGGAATACTTGCTGCTAGATGGAGAATATACGGTAAACCTATAATTGCATCTTTGCCCACAGTTCGAAAAATTATTCAGGCAACAGTTGTTTTGCACAATTTTGTAATGTCTACCGAAAGAAATTTGCATGTAACACAGAAACAATATTCAAATTTTAGTACACAAGATCGTGCAGTAATTTCTAACGGCATGAGAAATATATCGATAAATCGCTCTTCAAATCCTGTTGAAGCTAAAAAAATTAGAGAAGACTTTGCAGACTTTTTCAATGAAATTGGCGCGTTACCGTGGCAATGGGATAAGGTTATTAATAACGATTTTTAAATAGTGGCTAATATAATAAATATGTGATCAAAACGTTTACAAAGAAATATTAAATACACTACTCAAAAAAAAAATAGGGAACACTTTTCATACCCTAAAAATTGGGCTATTTTCAAACCACTGAAACTCGGCGAAAAATAATCGTAGACACAAAATTAAAAAAGCATTTTAAAGCTTGAAGTTTCAACTTTAAAACTCTGTCAATGATATATTTCGATATATTCATCTTCCTCGTTCTGTACTTTAAAAAAGAATACATTGTTTTGTTCCTTAAAATTACGTATTTTTGACACACTGTAGCTCGATAAAAAAATTTCTCTCGACAAATTTGATACAAGTTCCACAATCTACGACATTTTACCTACAAAATGATTTTTTT